AAAGGCCTTGACTCTGTGTCAGCACTGCTCAGCAGTAATGAAAACATCCCTGTATTATCAGCACTGGTTTTCAGCAAAATCCAAAACACAGCCCCACACTAGGTACTGGGAAGAAAATTAACTCTATCCCAGCCAAAACCAGCACAAAGACCAGGAGGAACACGTTTCTGGGAAGCCTGTTAAAAAATAATAATGAAAGGCCAGCTGCCAATTTAGGCAATATCTGTAACAAATCAAGCATGAGTCACTTCAGGAGAAGAAATCATTTGAGAACCCAGCTGCTCTTTTTGCTCCAGAGTGCCAGGGGTAACATCTACAGGAAGGATCTCCTATGCTTGTGGACAGCTGCAAACAATGAAATCCACTCCAGGAAGCTAATTAGAGGATGGTGGCAGGTAGTGAACAAGAACACTCTAAAATTCTGTTTTCTGATAGGTGGTATTGGAAAGGCTGGTAACATCACACAGGTGCCGGGGTGCTAGAATCTCCTTAGCACTCAGTAAAGGAGGACTGCAAGCTGGCACACGGTGCCAGAAGACTCCCCAAGGCCCTGCTGACTCTAATCAGAATAGCAAAGTGGGAACAGCGCACGGACACATGTGTTGCTCCTGGCTCAAGATGCTCACGCAGCTCTTGTTTGATCTCCAAGGCATTGTGTGCAGAAGGACCTATTGATGTCCTCCGTGCTCGTGCCTCAGAGGCATGGCGTGGCTGGAGGACCAAGGCTGGCTCCCATGTTACAGAGTTCAGAAAAGCAGGTCAAAGCCTGCATCTTTGCCTCCTCTAGTTTCTCCTCCAAATCTGTATCTTTGGACCTTTCACAAACCACAGCAGTAGATCTCCTGTCTTGGTGCAACGAGGAAGCTGTGAAACATTTCAGCATTTTGCTAGTTTGCGGGCAGGCAAATGTGAAGTCTGTTTATCCATCATCAGCCTTCCTCAAGAATCCTCCGTGTTACTGGGAAAGCCATTTTATGGGAAATACTATGTTCAGTTCAAATGCTTCTGCATTCCTCAATAACTAACTATTGCCTTCTGGAGTCCAGAAACTCTAAAATTACACCACTTCAAAAGCCAGGATTTCTTATCTTCAGTCTACGATTTAATGATGAAAACACCCAAGGAGAATGAACATCCAGATATCTCCTCAAGCAGTAAGATCAGAAATGACTGTACTGTGTGGAAGGCACTAGGGTCCCCTGGGTTCCTGTTAACACAGAACTGTCTTTTCTGGCAGATGAATACTGACAGTGCAGACCTTCAAAGCACCTCCTTTCGGTTAACAATTTGCTGCCCTTCCATACACACCCATTCAATTCCCATCTGGTTTTAGCAATTGGTATCTTGGGACTCATCAGAAAAGGAAATCATTTTACCATCTGCAAGTAAGGAATTAAGGCTTTCAAATGATATGAAACAATTAGGTCTGTTTCGTATGGCACATAAAATCTTAATGGAATCCATCACTGAGCTTCCCCTCTGTTCATCAGCTATCATAGCAGCCTGGTTTGAAGGTAGACTCTTTCTTCGCAAGGCTGGAATTACTTTGGTTAAAACAGTCTATTTGCTGAAGACACTTGATAACTACCACATGTATCCTTCATTAGGAAAAATGGAGCCTTACCATTATAGCTGCGTATGGCAGGAGTTCAGGTAACTCTTGCTGTAATTAGAAATTGATCCAATTTGAAAAGTCTTGATCTGGATTCAAGTTCTTCCCAAAAGAAATAGCCTTGAGATCTGTGCTTTTGGCACCACCACGTTGCTTACAGATAGAGACATTGATTCATACACTCCTCCAGGCTTCAAGGGTTGAGCCCTCCGCAGCGTGGGAAGACTGGAACTGCTGGGGCTTCCTGGGGCTACAGCTACACCAGAATAGTGGCTGTGGCTTTGATTCATCATATGGGGCTTCCCCCGTGTTTCCTATGGGGAACTCTGGCAAGATGAACTTACAGTGCCACCAAGAAGCCAATGGCAGAGACAACTACCCTAAAGCACAGGTCTGTGGTGTACAAGGGCTGCTCTCACTTCACGCACATGGGAAACATGGAGGACCACAGTATCTGGTTTCTGTCCTACCCGGCTCTTTTCATGTCTGAAGGGGCAAGCCTGGGAGAACTGGAAGATGCTGTTCATCCTGTGTCCTTCCCACCACAGCTGATCCTGCATTGGAAAGTGAGAGCACAGGAGCTCAGCAGAATGCATTTCCACAGGGTCTTTCCTACTGCTCCCTGCCAAAACAAAGGAGTACTGGGAGGAGGGAGTTGTGCTAAGCCTAATCCAGCTCGCAACCCTTCCAGGCGCGGTGATGGTTCTGTTCAGATGTGTCCTTCAAGGCCTGAAGAGCTGAGGTGCCTAGTGAGCATTACACCATGCAGTGGCAGTGATACTAGCTTGACATCCACAGATGTAAATACCTTTGGCTGTGCATCTCCACGGAGAGGTCTCTGGGCCACGCAGGGAGAAAACAGTCATCTCTGGGCTTCTCCAAGCTGGGCACAGTGACGCCTGGATCCCCAGGTGAGCTCAGAAGCTGACTGCATCTGCTCAGCAAATGCACACCCAGGGCACCACCTCATGCTCACTCTGCAGGAGCCCAGGGGCAGGTACAGGTGTGCTTTGGGTACCTACATCTCCAGCACTGACAAGCAGACTGCACTTTTCATTCACAGTCCCCATTAGGCTTGGAGGGTGAGCTGTGAGATGCTATTGGGCTTGCTGGCTGTGATAGGTTTGAACCAGAGGTGAAAAGCTCTGACATCCCATTCCACATCCCTCGGACTATGCAGCCCCACTTTAACCTCTCCAAGAAATTTCATTTTAACGATAATTTGGTATGTCTCCTTGGGTTTTTTTGCAGGTTTTAACATTTGAAGGGGAGAAATGAACAACCCACAGCCTACCACAAAGTGGCACAGAGTGGTGAACAGCTGTGTGCTAAACCCGCTTCTGGGCCCATGAGGTGCAGACAGGAGAGGTAAGAGGCAGGTCTCAGTAAGGGAGCCCCTCCAGTCTTGGAGGAGGGAGGTGGCTGTGCACTGGGGAAAGCCCCCCTGCTTGGAGGGGAGGACGTATCAGCGGGGGACGCGGAGCTTTGACCTAGCTCAGGGAGAGCAAAAGGGACCCGACCTTCCCTGAAGCTGCAGAGGAGAAAGGGAAGAAAGGGAAAGGAAACAGCCAGAACAAACATATTCTTAGAGGAAGAGTCAGGAAAAGCGAACAGTGGCACTCACACAAAAAAGAAAATATGAACCCTCCTCCCCCACCCCCGCCCCTCTAGTCTGCCTTTCTGAACCTGCACAGCTCAAACTGCAATTGCCAGGAGAATTTCAGAGCTAACCCTCCTCTGGCAGTTGCACAGAGGTCTCCTCTCCCCCAGCCAAGTAATTTCCATATTGACACAAGAACTACACTCACTTACTTGCAAGACAGCTGATTAATCCCCTCGATGTAGTAGCATACCCCACCATTGACACAATAGGACTTGGCTGTTTCGTTGCATTTTCTAGCATGCCCGGACCAGGAGGAGAGAGTTGTGGTTACTGCAGGGAAAAAAAAACACACACAAAAAGGATATATTGTTATTTCCTTTGTTGGGCAATTCTGTTTTCTTTTATGATTTTCAGCTAGTTCATTTGCCAAAGTAAAAACCCCAGAGCTACAAACCTCAGCCTGTGCCTTCAGACCCACCTTCACCTGGGGCTGCAACTTGACCTTTCCTTTCCCAGCAGAAGTGGCCAAGTGAGTGAGGCATTGAGGACACGCCTTCCTCTAAGCAGCCAGCATGTCAGGACAAGATCATCTTTTTGGCAAGCTCTGGGGAAAAGTGCCCCTTTCCCACCTCTCCTTGCCCTCCCCTTATACATGCATGCAACCCTGCACCAGCAGGCTGGCAGGAGGTTAGGACGAGCATGTGCTGCAGAGTCACGGTGGCATGCTGCCGAGGCCTGATTTGCATCGTGATACTGGACCAAGATCCAGAGATACTGCAGGGGACATTTCATTGCTTCACATCTCTGGGAGGAAATAAGTTTTCAGAGCCAGAAGCAAGTGCCCTCATTGTCCCCAGAACAGGTCTGGCGCAAGCAAGAACAGCTCCATCTCTCCCTCCCCTATTTCTGAGCATTTCTCTGTCATGCCCCAGTGGGGCTGCCTCAAGAGACCAAGCAGAAGTTCAGCAGTAGAAGTAAGTCAGCCCCGGTCTGTGCTAAGAGGGAGGCAGCCAGCATGACTCAAGTTTCCTGGGATACAGATGCTTTTCCAAATCCAAATTTCTTTCTGGAGAAAAGCTTTCCAGCCATGTAAGGTACAAACAAAACTGATGGTACTCTGCAGAATTTCACTGCAATTCCTGTCTCTGAATGACTTAGACAAACTTACAGCCCAAAACAGAGAGTCTCCATAGCCAAGACAAAGGCTTCTAGGAAGGGAAAAACCTTTTGTTAGAGCAACTAATACAGGTTACAAAAGCAGACCAGCTTTGGGGAATGCAGACCCATCTTCACATAACTGAAAGAAGGGCTGGGCACTCAAAAGCATGTGCTTTTTCCAACTGAATACTTAATCTCATTAAAGATAGTCCCCCTTTCTGGACTACCCACCTTGCTTATACCCTAACACAGTTACATCTCCAGCAGTGTGGCTACTACCTACTTTCCAGTGCCTTTTATGCTGTACTCGAGGTTTCTGAGGAGGTATCCTCCTCCATCCTGTTTTCCAAAGCATGAACGAACCTCATGGAGAGGTTAGTGACTTCAGACCAGTTGCTGAAGACTGAACACCTCATTGACAGGATTCGAGGAAGAAGGCTGGAGCCAGAGCCCCAGGCAGTAGCTAGTCAGAACCATGGGAGAAGCAGCAAGGCATGCCAGAGCCTGCCCTGGAGGGAGCCAGGGCTGCTCCCCACACCTCGGGCAGCCCCCGTGCCCGTCCCACCTCCGCAGCAGGCTCAGAGGCTGCCGCGGGTGCCTGCCCTGCTGCCTCCAGCTGCAGCCCACACCGCCAGAGCCAAGGTCTCCGTTCTCACGCTCCTGCTCCAGCCCAGTGCCTGCCGGGCACGTCCGCGCTCTCACAAGTAAAGGAGGGCTCCCAGCGTCCTGTGAAGCCTCTCACATTTGGGTGATGCTTGGCACATGAGCAATGAAACAAGCTTGTTCTGGTTCTCTTGCTTTTAGGACTATCTCTGACTGCATGGGGTCCATGCCTCTCTGAATGAGGAGTTTGCTCATCAGGCTGTGCACAGCAGGAGTGGCCCACGCTGTTACCTGCACACAGCTCAAGGCAGAGCCAAGCTTACTGTTCATTTTGCTCGAACCAATGCATTGTCCAACCCCATTGTCTTCTGTTCCCACGGGGAAGTCATTGCCTTCCACTGTCTGACAGAGCCAGGGTTGTGCACTAAGCAGTTATTTCTATGCTTTGCCTTGAATAACCATTGCCTCTGGGGTTGTCTTTTCACAGCTATCCAGGGCAGAGCAAAGTTGTCCCAAAGTGCTCTGCAAACCAGACATGGCAAATACTTCAGCAAAGACTGAAAATGCACATGGCCCTGGGACAGCAGATAGCTGCTCCCCTCCTAGGGCATGTAACGCCAGCCAGCTGGGAGCCAAATGTGCGGAGCAGTATACACGTACTAGAGTGTATGCTGGGTTTTAGAACAGACGATTCGACCAAGCTGCCAAAGAAGTCCTTGCAAAAAACCCTGAAATATAAAAACTCCCAAACTTCTGTAGGGAAATTCAGTGCTCCCTTCCAGTTAAGATTAATGGGAACTAGAAGCCAAAGCCATTGTAATAGCTTTGTAAGAAGCCTGTATAATTTATACCTTTACGAGATAGTAGCACACTTCTAAGGCCAGTGGAGAGCTGTGGGTTCAGGACAGAGGAGCTCTGTGTGTGATAGCACCTGGACTTTCTTTGCAAGGCCTCTCCTTTAGCTATTGCTTGATCCAGCCACTTAAACCAAGCCTTAACACCAAATGCCATTTTAAATATAAGCATGAAAATAAAACCTAGCCTGGAAGCAGGCAGCTGTGTCCCAAAACACAGTCGGAGCCAGGGTCTGCACAGGCTTCATTGTGCATGTGCATGGGAAGCTGCAGGTTGTGCAGGCTGCCGGGCTAGTAGGAGCTGCCTGCTTTGCTCTGCAGCTCTTGGGGCCGGCTGGGCCAGCCTTGTGGAGGCAGAAGCAGGAGCAGAGCAAGCAAGGGCCTGCCAGGGAAGTGTGAAAATTGCAGGGGAGCAGGTACACAGAAGACAGCGACTGTCCCTTCCAACAGTCCCCAAGTGCTGCCTGGCCAGCAGCATGGGAGCTGCTGAAAGCCGCTCGCAGGGTGGCCTTTGGTTTGGAGTGCTTGCAGGCTTTTACTGAAGTACCTTAAAACTGCACAATGAACTCTGTTAAAGCTGCAAGCGTGCTGTCAGATCAGGGAGCACTGAAATTTCATGAACCAAAGCACTGGTGCAAATTGAAAGGCACGTGGATGAAGAACAAGCACAGCCTGCAGGAAGCCGTCACCCCTGCAACCATCAAATGTACCAGTTGCTAGCAAGCAAAACGATCCATCTGGCAAACTCGCACATCATAAATCCTACAGGAAAGGATTCTGGAGCGAGCCTTTCCGCAGTAAGGGAGGAGCAGAGAGGAAGAAATAAAAACAGAGCGCAGAAACCTCCCCACAGAAAACACCTCAAATAAAAAGGTACCCTTTCCACCAGAAAAGGTGGATGGGAAGATGCAGTGCTGTGTGATGTTGTGGTACCAGAGTGGATTACAGTGCTGACCAGCTAGAGATTGCATGGGATTTTCATCCCATATAAACAATTTTGTTCCTTTTATACAAATAAAAAAGAGACTGACATGAATGAGGCTTGGGACATGCATGTTGTGCACTTCTAGAAAAAGTCAACAGAGCTATGCCTGTCAGAAAAATACGTGGTTGATCAGTTCTCCTAGAAGCATCTTGTTAATGTCGTTATCCTTTAAATCCTGTTTTCTGCAAGTACCGTGCCTTTTCTCCCAAAGAAGCACAAAGTGTTTTAAAACTGAATCACAGAATCATATTACTATGGTCCATTTGTTAGCGGCAGAGATGTAGCAAAGGCTACAAGAAGAGGCCGTCAGCCCGGTTCCCTGCTGAGAAGAGAGTGTCATGAAATACAGGCCATTATAAGACTATATAAGCTGAGCAGTACTGGTCAAACCAAAACCCTGTCTTGTCTCTGACAGTGGCGAACAGGCAATGTTTAAGGAAGAAGATCAGCATGAGCATGCAATGTTAATTTTCTTCTGGCCATCTAGGATGAGCAGCTCAGAGACAACCTAAGTCTTTGTTCCTGCTCATTGCAGGGGGGTTGGACTAGATGACCTTTAAAGGTCCCTTCCAACCCAAACGAGTCTATGATTCTATGATTTTGTCAGCCTCAGTGTCTTTACATTTAATAGTCTTCGATGGATTTCTCTTCCACAAACGTGTCTAGTGGCTGTTTGAACAAATCTAATCTTGTAGCATCCACAGTATTTGTGACAAGAGCTCCAGTGTCATGTACACAGTGTGCAAAGACACATCTCCATTTACTTCTTTTAAACCTGCCCCTTCCTGGCTCTTGTATCAGAAAAAATAGTGGACATCCCCACTCATTTCCCCTGGGCTACCTGTTGCTTTACAGGCACAGCCAGCATCTCCTTCCCTAGCTGGAAAGCGATGATCTCTTTAGTAGCTTCTTATACAGAGGTTGACCTGGCTGCAGTCCTTTTTTGTGCCATCTTGGGCTCTGGTTTTCCCTTTGGAGATGGCGAGACCATCCTGCACACGCGATATTTATGTCACCCTGGTTTTCTCTCTATTCCATTCATAGTAATTCCTAATGTTCATTTTGAGTTTTGACGTACTGAATACAGATCTTTATCTACTATAACCCTGAAATCTCACTCCTGCATGGCAACACGGAGTCCAGAGCCTCCCAAGGTGCCTGATTGCTCTGGGATGTTGCTGCAGCTGGGACTTCATGTTCATGAGGGCAGTAGCTGCAACTAGTTTGGGAGCAAGGATGGAGAGACCTGCCAATTCAGAGAGCAGCTCTTGTGGGGGGACAAAGGGAAGCAAAATGTCTCGCTTAGAAAACGTTACTTGTGCCTGGGTTGAAATGTGGCCCCCTTTGACACCATGGGGCAGCAGATCACAGACAAGTACCTTGAAGCATGAGGCCAAGGGAGATTTCAGTGCGTTTCCACCACACTAGCAGGTAAATTCCCAGATTCACAAGTGACTCCATTCAGTTACTTTATGATTAGCTGTATTCCCCCATCATCCTGGGCCACTGGAAATAACGTTAACAAATATCTACCTGGTCCTGAGTCATCTGCAGTTCGATGACCGATGTTGGTAAAGTGAGCCTCACATACAGTTTATTTGCAGTCATGCATGTTCATTCACCTCCGCTGCAAACACCATTCAGGTGTGCCTGGTGATCCAGAAATGACTTCCCACAGCTATTTTACCTTAACTGCCACGCGGTACCAGGCAGATTTTACTCCCTGTTGG